TAATCTAGCTTCCCCGTCAACCACGTCGACTTCCAATAGTCCCTCTTCATCTTCACCAATGTCACTCTCCTCTCGTTCCGAATCCGCATCACCTCCACACTCGTCGCCTCCGGCATCTTCAGATTGACCATCGTGATCACTATCGAATCTCGGTTCTTCCCCGTCATATTCCTCTTCAGGCGAATATCTATCATCACCGTGTTCCTCTGGTTCTCCTTCGACGCCTGCAACAGCTGGATTGATATCAGATTCACCATCCTGATCTCTCTGGTTATCTTTCTTCTTTCTCCTCCGTCTCCGTGGTTTCTTGGGCGGAGGTTCCTCTTGTTGTGTCTCCTGACCTGCTGTGGCCTCGTCTTCATGCCCCACACCTGACAGTATGCGATGAAGTATCGTAGCCAAGCCGTCTGATCTTGGTAAGCATCTCCCGTCGTCATCATTCACCTTGATATAGGGTATGTTGTCATGCACCGATAACGGAATCTTGTTCGCGTTCTGGTCGATGAGGTATGGCAATTGATTTGCCGGCCATATGAATGAGTACCCTTGTTCCATGCACCGCTTCCCGATGGAAAAGACTGATGGTGTGCTCTCCAACACGTGTGCCTCGGACATCATGGGTAGTTCGTCCACATTGATGTCCACCATTTCTGATGTACTAGTTACACCATTCGCTGTCATGAAGCTCACGGATTTGGGTCCTTCCTTGGTGGTAAGGCCCATGGCATTGACTTTCTCTCTTGATATCAAGTCGTGTCCACATCCCGTGTCCATGATGAAGCGTATCGGTGGTCCATCATACCTCCCTACAGCCATGAACATTGTGTCTCCCGGTATCGTGTAGTTGACAGAATCCTTCTTTACTACCTCGCTGGTGCTGAAGTCTGACAGGTCGACGTTCACCTCGATTCCTTCATCTTGAGTGATTTGTATCCATGCCTTGGCAATGTGTTCAGCAGAAAATAACTCCATCATCTTACCTTTGGCATGTGCTACTCGTGCAGCTATATTGTTCACTCTGAGGGCTCTCAACGATGAAATGAGCTCGGTATCCACCTTCTGTACCTCGTCCTTCTTCTTCCTGAGGGGACGGGTGTTTAGCTCGTTACCAGGATCGCAGGTAAACGTGGTCACACTCGCCCGGTCGTCGAATCTGACTTTAAAGCGAAGCGCCAGCTTACCTTGTTGTACGTTGGGAAGTGCGGGTCGCGTGTCCTCGCCATCACTCTCGATGTCTCCGCAAAGCATGAAGGCTGGCGCAGCCGGTTTGGGCTTGGCTTTGCCTTTAGCCTCTTGTTTTGCAGCAGGAGCAGCTTGGTGCTGACGTCGACATTTGTCCCCGAACTTGCACGATCCTTTCTGCCAATTCCAACAGACCTGATCCTTCATTGGCTTAGGGCTAGTGCTCCTACCACCAGGACTCTTTGATCTGTCACCCTTGAGGTTATCTGGTTTCTTAGCAGAACTTTTGTGCTTCTCCTGGTGACTAAACTTGCATTTGTCTCCTCTAGAACATCCGTTTTTCCCATGGAAGTGGAAAGCGCATCCTATCTTGGACGTGTCTGCCGGAGTCGCTGATCTGCCACGATCCCCCTTTGGGCTCTTCGTGGTTGACCTTCCTCGATCCTGCTTCTTGTCCTTCTTTTGGTGATCCTTCGGATTATTCTGAGGAAGTACTGGAGCGGCGTCAAGCTTCGGTGGATCGGCCTTGGTATTCTTGGGCTTCGCTTTAGGGTCCTTCTTCTCCGCTGGTGTAGCCTTCATGAGGTTCCCAAAAGCTTTTTCCCTTTCTTTCTTGTTTGTGGTCTCAATTGATTTCCGTATCCATTTCGCCATGATCTCTCGTAACTTCTGATAGGTCTTATCCGGATCCTTATCCAACATGTTATCGTACACAGACAAGTCTAACGCCATAACTTTGGAATCCTTAATCTTGTCCCAAAGCAGGTTACGGAGTGCTTTGTCAGGAAGCATGTCATCCGCATCCATACCCGATAAGATCTCATCCCACTGTCCAAGGAATCTGGAAAGCTGATTATCCCCAGGGAACTTTAGATCGAATAAGTGCTTAGATGCATACATCACATCGACGTTGTCGGCACTCCGGAAGCTATCGACGATCAACGCTAACATTTCTCGTCCCTTAACCATTCCCGGAGTTGTGCCTCTCGCACGTCTCTGCATCATCTGCCTCACCTTCAGTTGTACGTCGTGAGATCTCTCACCTGCTGCTTGGATAATCGTGTGTAGGGTGATACCTAGCTTAGCATCTACGCTAGCGAATCTTGCTTCGCCCGATGTCTCGAGCAGAAATGGGTCATATGGTGATTTGAAGGCATCCGAGAGCCACTGGATCCAATCTTCTTGTCTTTCGTCGCCCGATGCCGTCACGACTGCCGCTACAACTTGGGATTTCCAAACCTCCAAGTCGTGTATCTTGGGCCATGCAGGGATGTTGATCTTCTCGTGTTCCTTCCGAGATATCTTGGAGCCACCCGAGCTAGAGGATGAAGCGGCACCATGTTCGGTTGCAGCTGCATTCTCAGCGTTCATGCGCTCCTCTTCATACCTCCTCCGGTACTTATTCCTCTCATCTCTGAGTCGTGCTGCATGTGCTTCGAATTCCATCATGTCCTGCTGGTTCTGCATCATACCTTCGTAGTACTCCATCGCCTCTTTCTCCTCGGACCTTAATGACTTTTCGGTGCGTTCAAGTTCCGCTCTAAGCCTGGTCATCATCTCATTCTCCACATTGGATTCTGATCCCATGTCTGGTGGTTTCATCTTCAGTGCGACTTTCAGCTGTGCTTCACTCGCGCTTGATTCGATCAATTCTTCCTGAAGACGTTTCAACATCCTCTCTTTACGTAGAATGTCTTCTTCCAACATGTTCACCTTGACCTCAGCTTTCTTGAGTTCGACGTTGGATGGTTGAGACGGTCGATCGGATCCTTGAATCCTCGCCTGCGTCAACTCCTCGTTCGCCCTCTTCAATTGCTCTCTGATGGTCATGATGAAATTATCCTGATTATAAGACCGGTTGTTGAGCTCCTCATTCTCTTCTGATAACCATTTGATCTTGCTTGTATACATTGCTTCCTTCATCTTCATCTCCTCGGCATATTCGTGTTTGTTCCTGACACTCTGCCTTTGTAGTCCAACTATCTCCTGCCTATACAGATCCCTAATGTTCTCAGCGTCTGCGACTGCAGTCATGAGCTCGGTCACAGCTCGATCTCTTTCCGCCGATATAGCCTGGATCTCTTCCGTGCCGATGTTCACGACTTGACTAACCATCTCTGCGCTGTTGCGATCAGCGTACTCCCCTAACTGGGTGAGACGATCCCGCATTGCCACACGATCAGTGTCAATCTGGTATTGCAAATCGTGTGCTGCTGAGAGCAAACAGTCTCTGGATTCTGTAAGTTGGGAGATTCTTCGTTGATTTCCATATCCTTCGACATAACATTCTTCGAGGTGTGCCATCACTACTTCGTGGACTTCGGTCTCGTGTTGTATAATCTGGTTCTGTCTCTGCTCACATTCGACCATCCATGCGTTTTGGTGGTTATACATATGCACTTCGGCAAGTAGTTGTGCACACTTCGCATTGAGGTCTCCATCGGCCCGTGCTAGTTGTAGGTTGTCAGTGCTTGCCCTTGCTCCGTCTCCAGCTTCGCTGTCCGACGGTACTGGTACAGTTGACCCATCCTCTAAAGCTAGCACTCTCACAGCTCCGGTGTCAGTCCTCCTCCTTGTCTCCCTAGGGCTACGGCCCGATCTCGGTGTCCCCCCCGGTGGTGTCGAGTGCGCTGACGGGGAACGACTTCGTGCTCTACCTGTCGCATCTTCTCTCACCGCTGCCAGAGTCTCCACTTCGATCGTACCTGGACTAGAGTTGTGGGATGCACTCATCCGATCTGCGGCCGCAGCAGCTGCCCCAAAGGATGCAGTGCTGGCGTCGGATTGGTCCATCTTCAGTGACTGAGGGTAACTGATCTATCCGATGCGTGTGCGTTTAGATGGTGTTGTGTAAGGCCGTAGCTCGTACCCAGCTCAAAGGAGTCTGGATACGGCTGATAACCTGCGAACGGATGGAAAGCGTGCCCCCGGCCCCGTTCTAGCCCTTAGTTTAACATGAAGCTCGCGCGCTAAAGCTCCTTTTTACCTGGTTGGGCACTTGAGCCAAAAGTATATGGCATGTACCTGTATAGCGACTATACTGAGACCTCATCCCTATTGACAAAAAGAAAGGCATCCAAGCAGAGGGAAAGGAGACATTAAGGAAAGGATAGCAAGGGAGAAAGGAAGAGGAGAGAGAGAGAATATGAAAGAAGGAGAGAGAAAAACAGTTCAAAGAGAAGAACATTAAAAACAATTGGAATTTAACAGAGAGGTTGTCTACAAAAATCAACATCTTATACCAGCGTTCTTTGCAGAAGATGGCGCAAGTCTACTCTGTGAATGGGTGGAATGCCATTTATTATGCTTGAGGATGCATAGGTATGTATGTGTTTTGTCTTTTATCACGGTTTTCCGCAGGCGCTTCTGGCACTTTCTGGCGCCATCTACTCGTTTCCGGATATAGCCATCTATTCTGAATGCGCAACATGCGCACGCTGAGGGTGTCCTGTTCCGGATCTTCAACCCATATACTTATACAAATGCAAATGCAAACTAGAAGTATCTACAGTATATAAAGTATACAAAACTAGTCCCTGCCCTCAATAACTAGCGACCCCCAGTGGGCCCCACTGGTGCAGTGTAGTTTCATCATGCTTGATCTGCCAATTTGGAGCCTCCGTACGCATCTGCAAATATGTTTAAATGTGGACCTCGTCGAGAATCGAGAAACAAGAATCCGGTTGTCATCGTTCAGTCCACCACAAAAGAAGTCGGCGGAAGAGCCATGAGAGCCATGACCCACAGAACCACAGAACCACTTCGGTCACCGCCCACCGCACCGCTTCGCTTCCGCCCCTTCACGTCGTCCAGGCCACAGGGTCGCTCAATCGACTGCGGCCTCGGGAGATATGGTCGGGTCTGGCCTTCGGTGTGTGTATATGGTCGTCCAACCCGATGGACACCACAAGCAAAACACCGGGAAGAGTCTTGAAATCTTTGGCTGCTGTACTTGTTGCTGCATGTTGTACTTGTGCTTTTGGCAGCCCTTGCAGTGTAAGAACAATCACTTGAGCCTAGCAGCCTAGCATGTCAGGGAACATACGTGGGTTGCAAACAAAGGTTCAAATCGCCAATGCTTAGAAAGTTGTCTCCTGCAAGTTGGGAGAGATTCCCTGTTTTGGTGGTGCAGGTTGGTTTTGACGGAATCAGCTCTGGGCTCATCCCTCAGCTTTTGCCAACAGGACTTGGTGTAGCAACTGCTAAAAAGCTCTTAGGAGTGTCCAATCTACATGTTACTTCAACTAGCCACGAATTCCCCGTTACCCCAGCTAACGAGTCTCTCTTTGCACAAGGCCGAGCTGCTCCAGTGCGACCCTGGGCTCAATTCCCCAGGGTACATAGTCTGATGCATGGCCTGGCCAGAACAGATCTGATGATAACCATGCAGCCGTTTGCAAAATACCAACTCTGGACCCATGTTAAACCCATGTTGGTGCCCTTGCTTTTGAAAGTGTAAAGGGCAATCTGAAATAGGCGGTAGGAGAACAGGTTTATGACGCATAAATAAACTACGGACCAAAAGTGTGGTTCTGCATGGAAGATTGTGATGGTGTTTTTTGGTGAGAAAATTTGTGGGCGCGACAAAAGCGTGGCGACACATAGGGCGACACTCAAGTCAGCCAGGGAATGATCACAGATCCAGTCGCGAACTGAGGATGAATGGACACCCAACAGTGACAGAAAAGCGGCAAACCTCAAAATCGGTGGAACTTGGCACATGTCGATGGAACTTTGCAATGATTTGGCATGGTGCATCTTTATTCAAAGCAAAATCTCCCAACACAACCCTTGGCATGGTGCATCTTTATTCAAAGCAAAATCTCCCAACACAACCCTTCCCTCAGTCAGATGATACGGCCTAAACTGCAGGTTGAGAAGAAGAACCTCTCTTGAGACAAAACCAAGTGCAGTAAACATGTCAAAAATCCGGAAAAGCTGGTCAAGTTGGACCCAGCGCTTCGAAACCCTTGCATGGCTCTTGTGCGTAAACAACTACCTGGAGCCTGACCGAGTATTTTGGTACTCCCAGGAATCGTTGAGACAATGATTCAATGATCACTATTTTCAAGAGTGGTTTGCGCCCCAAGGCAGACGCACCCAAAAAGTTGGAGTGCAGCAAGGCTCAGGCTACTCAGCAACATGGTCTTCGGGAAAGTGCCTCCATAGCAACCAAATTCTGCTTCGCAACACTCTTTGAGTGCTGAAGGCAACAAATATTCTGCAAATCACAGAATCACAGCGATTGTGTAGTAGGTATATGCAGGTCGCATGAGACAGTCAAAAAGTCATGACCCACAGTCTTGAGCTCATGTTTTTCCGTGCTCCTTCTCAGCTAAGACCGTGAACATGGACACGGGCTCGCGCACTCCCCTTCGGGGGGCTCGAACCACTCAATAGCTGCAGATCACCTACATCTTCCTATGGCTTTGGGTCAAATGGGAGGCAAATGGGAGGGCTTGACAATGGTGATTTTGTTCCTCGATGATTGGGCATCAACAATGCCTAGCAAGACAATGGCAGCATCGTCAAACTTTGTTCAGCTCGTTTCAAGTCATCTTTGCAATTATAGCAACAAAAAAGTAAAACATAAACTCAACAGAACTCAACAAACCTTCAGGTTTCTTTGGCCAAAGCTCCATCACCTCGTGCATTGCCCCAGACTTGCCCAGTTGAAGAAACCGTCCCGCTTCACACCAGCGGTGGTCGACTGTTTTCCTGTCACCGTATCCATTGAGGCCTACCTTGATCGAGACACCCGTGTGAGCCACGTGTCCTCTTCGTGAGTCAAGTTACTAGTAGCTTCTTGTTACTAGTAGCGTCCTTGCCCCTAGTAGTACGGCCAGGAGCCCCTATTAGCTTCTTGTTCCAGTAGAGTGTCCCTTCTCTCGTTTTCCATCCCCAAGTGCAATGGGGGAAGAAAGAGAAGTCACTTCAAGCTGTGAAAACCGTCAGGCTCACGGAAAAGCCTAGGCATGCCTAGGCAGAAAAATACCTTTGTAAAAGAAAAAATGTCTTGAAGTCAATGTGTCATAACTTCATAAACTGTTCAAATCCAACAAGGAGTTTTCCTCCAACAACCTGCCAATGCTGATATCAATTTTGCAGGATGAATTCACTTCCATTCCTTCCGAACTTTCCCCACATCATCACACCTGAGCCCAGCACTTCCGCCCGTACTGGCTCAATCAACGCGGAAAAAAAAGGGGCAGTCTCCAGCGGACCGGTGGAACCGGTTCTTTGACACTAAAAACCAACATGGACCCTGAAAATGTCTCCTGGAAGACTATTCCGACTTTGCGGCTTGTGTGTTCTCTGCGATAGTCTCGTGATTCACTCCCTTTGTGATGTTCATAAAGCCTTGGTAGTGGATCGCATTACCAACATCTTCTCTACAGTACTCTTCACCAAAACTCTACTTTAACATACTTTAAGGGCGCTCTTATCTCTTCAATTTCGCTTCTGTCCCGTCGCCGCTTCTTGAGCCAAGAGCGACCACTCTGGAGCTGCTCCGAGGCAAAATCCAGTAGGTTTGACTGGGAGAGTCCGTAGTCTTGGTCTGCTTTGGTGGAGGACCCGTCAACCCTCAGACAAAGCCAAGGGCACATCCACTGAAACGACGATCTGATGGTCTGGGTGGTCCATGGAGCACGAGTATGGTCACCAACTCTCTAGCTTCACAAGCTCACATGGGCGTGAGGACCTCTAAAGCAACAAAATCTCTGCAGAATGTGCCCCAGTGAAACCAAGAGAAACCAGAATCAAACGCAATCTGTTCTTCGCTGTTCATTCTTTCTTTAATGACAAAGGATGAAGAGTACTGCAGTTCACTAGCTGACTAGGAGCTCAAGACTGACGCAGGAACATATCATCTAAAACCACCGGGTCTTCGCTGGATTCGAGAAGACCGCACTCTTCATCCTCCCCCGTCCTCCAAGTAACCCACCAATTCCTGGCGGATCAGCCCAAACCCATGAAGCAAAGTTCCCTTTTGCTGGGAAATCCCCATCCAGAAAATGTGTCTGGCAGAATCAAGGAGTTTCAAGTTCCATCTTTGGCTGCATTGATCAAATTCCCCGCAAACACCTGCACATCACCTGCAAGGGCTCAGCAAAGTGGACACAACTCACTCAGCTTGTTGTGCCACAGCTGCACCTGCATGCCATCTTCCTCCTTGCGGGCTGAAAAATGACTCGGCATCCCGCATTCGTTCTCCACCCATCAAAACAGTCCCGATTGGTGATTCTAAGTTTGAACGAAGGACCAAAACTGTTTTTCTCAGAGAGCGAGCAAATGACGTACATGTTGATTTTTGGTTTTGCAGTCACTTGCAGCCACTTGCTCAGGCAGCCACTTGGCAGCCACTTGGCAGCCACTTGGCACTCAAGCAAGTAAACTTCAACACTGTACTTTGAGTTCTTTATGTAAAAGCTGTAAGATTCTTTCGTCGCTAGCTCTGCAGAAGTTTGGATTTTTTCTCGGAAAAGTCTTGGATTATTTACAGTAATGATTTCTCCGCGCGCAGCTCGGGAGAAAACCAAAATTTCTTCGCAGAACAGCATTGCAGAAATTGTGGTTTTCTTCAGAACTGCGTGCGGAGAAATCATGATATTCTCTGGACAGAAGTAGCAGTCACTTGCAGCCACTTGGCAGCCACTTGCAAGTGGCTGCAAGTAGCTGCAAGTGGCTGCAAAATGGAAAATCAAAATGCGCACCTCCTGCGAGCTCAATGGTTTTTCTTGGCCAGGCTACTGTGGTGCTATTGCGAAGCTACTGTGGTTTGCTTCTCAAACGGTCTTAGTATGCATTCAAGCAAATATAGCAATTTCTGACCACCATGACGGACCATGACGACAAGAACTTCTCTCATTCCAGCTTATACACGAACAGGTTGCACAAGTCTTTTTCATCATTTGGGCTTGGAAAGAAGGTGCACAGCGGCATTTCTGCACGCTGTCTTTCCTACTCAGGACGCCTCGAAGCCTGTAGACGCCTACAAAAACTCACACCGACGAGTCTGACCACATCCTTGAGAACGACGGGGTTGACCTGCCGGTTTGGTCGAACAACTTGGGTACTTGTGCGTTTGCTCCTCCTCATCATCATCCTCCGTGTCTCCATCGGCCATGATGGAAAGAGCAAGCGAACTATCAAAAAAAAACACTGAGTCGGGTGTCCAAAAGCATGTGTCATTTCTACCTCAAGAATTCCCATGTTGCCACAACTGTACATGACTGTGAGGTCAACTCTGCGAGCCAAAGAGAGGTCACTGCGGAAAAACACCACAAATGCTGATATGAGGGAGCCCCCAATCATCTCCAGAGTCCCAGGGCACCGCATTTTGGATGAGTCCTAGAAGTTTTACCTTCTCATGTCCCCAACGTCCCCTCCAACATTGGAAGGCATACAATCTGTGATCAGCCAAAATCACCCTGCCATACCCCTTTGGTTCGGAAGTAGACCAGCACACCCCAACCTTTCATAGAGACAGGGGACTTTCAAACATCTATAGCGCCCAACCGCCAAACCTTCACAAAGGCCATCACATCTTTTCTCCAAAGCATCGCTGCACTTCCCCGCCTCGAGAGCGCCCGTTCTCTTGAAGTGCGCCTGGCGAATGCTCTATGCGGCACCGGTTTCGGTGCGGGTACACGCATTCGCCAGGTAGTGCCAGGGGGTCAGATGGACATCGCGAAGGAAGAGTCATGTTGTTTAGACCAAGTGCCTCCATCAGAAGAGAAAAAGAGACGACAGTAGCTAGAATGTAAAAAATGCTAGTAGGTTGGTTGGAGGCCATCGCTCTTAGGTTGGAGGCCATCGCTAGTAGGTTGGAGGCCATTCCTAATTGATTGTATGGTCTTGTTGAAGAATCGGTTAAAGAAAAATAATGCTTATAGTGTTGAAAAGTGCTCCAGAGTTCACAAGCATGCCTGGGACATCCTGGCACCCTGGCAACCTCCGCGAATTCTTCATGGTCTACAGATATCGTGTGGCCGGCCCCAGGTCGTTCAACAGGTCCCGGTCGCCGTGATCTGGACCCAAAGCTAGTGGGCAATCAGGTACAAGTATTCCAAACAAAAGTGCGTCTTAAAAGGTCGTGACCGTGTGGATTACACACAATCTTGTCTGTGAGTCTGTAGCATGACGTCTTGTCCATCTCATGTTCTTGGGACAAGTTCACAAGATCAACCTCCAATGGCCTTAGCCAGCCTTCTCACCAAGCATAGAAGAACAGGACTCCCGAGTCATTAAATGGCTAAGATCCAACAGCCAAAACAAAGGCGACAAAACATCAGTTTCCGCAATCGGCCTTGTCCGACTCAGGAGCCACTTGAGATCTTCCTGATCCACGCAGTGGCCACGCAGGCCGCTGCCCAAGTATATAATATACATGAAGGCGTTTTGAGCAGTTGAGCAGAGTGATGGAACATGAGAGAATGTCAACGACTTGAGATCCACCAGTTGGTAGGGACACTACTAAACCGTAACCCATTCATTGGGGCACCTAATGTCCTTGACAATGGAAAAGTCGCTGCACGTGCTTGATCTTCGTCTTCGCGCCTTCGCTTTTGAGGCTTCTCGGACGAACCTCGGGCGCGATCAAAAAGAGGAAAACAAGTCTGAGGTCAAAAAAGAAGTGCCAACCGAGCAGGTGTGCATCGGCTTGGTAAAGGAAAATGATCTGGTGCGATCCACATAGCTTCCTGAACTGGTGCAATCCACATACCATCTCCCACGTCATCTCATGTCATCTTCCCATCTTCCAGCTAGGGATTTGGCTCACCTTTTTCTTCGCCTCAACAACTGGAGATTGGCTCACAGAAAGAACTGGAATCAGCCAAGCTACTAAGGGATCCCTCCGAACCAAAGTGAGAGTGTCTCGTTTTGACGACCAAGAAAAGACACATCTCATTCTGAGAAGTTGCAAGCAGGCTGGCGAAAATTGAGAGCCCCCCACCTTCTTTTCCTTAGCCTTCTTTCCTTTCTTCTTGTGTGTTTCCTTCAACTGTCAGAAGCTCTGTTGGAAGCGACCACAAAATGCCTTAATTAAGACTATAGTTAATGTTGTTCAAACAATAGGGCACCGGAGCTTTACTGAGTGGGGTCTTGCGAATAACAACAATGATACCTTCGCATCCAAAACCATTGACAATGCAGCTCAAGCGC